AATCGACGTTTTCCTACGAGTTTTCCTTAGAACCTGAAAATTTGCAACCTCAAAATCGATGTTTCGTGCGAGGCTTCTGTCAATTTTCAGCACATGTCAGAAAATGCCACGCCTGCCACGGAATTTGCACCTTGTCACCACTTGACGCAGCCCTGCCAATGCGATTTGCAAAAAACACGCAACATGACACGTCTAAAATGCTGCGCCTGCCACGAAAAATGACGATGGACACGTCCAAAGTGCTGCACCTGCCACGAAAACTGCAACACATCTTCGGAAAACGTCGCAAAAGTATTGCGCCTGCCACGCAAAACAACTTTCGACACGTTCCAGAACACGTCTGAATGTCACGAAGTGCCACGCCTGCCACGCGAAACGAAGCAACGACACGTCTGAAACCTCCAAAAATTACCACCTCTGCAGAACTTCCCATAGGCACGGCCATACGGTCCTCACGCGAACGGTTGCGGACGGTTGCGGACGGTTGCGGACGGTTGCGAACGGTTGCGAACGGTTGCGACCGTGAACGCAACGTCGAGCGAACACACCCTCAACCCCCAGACCCCCAGAGTGAAACGGGAACCCTTGCTACGCATTCGGGAACAAATTGTCGAAGCATGGATTCTATACGGCGGTGAGACACACTGACTTCGGTGTCTCTTGACACAAAGTAGAACTTTCATTCTCACAATATGGAATATGGAGGACACCAACCGGGCCAACCTCAAGTAACATATTGGAATATTGTTTGACACGAGATACAACTGGTTTTTGGCTATCCAGTTGAGATCGCTTTTAAATCATTCACATTGAACATCAGCAAAAAAAAGAACACGGCGGAGACGATTTGCTGACCAATTTGCGCGCGTTTCCGGACTAGAAAGACCTTCGGCCCTGGTCTTCCGCGGGTGTCCATAACTCTACCTAGCTCTACACGTACTCAAAACAAAATCATTGACTAATCTGGGCAACCCATAATATTTCACTAACCTGAATAGTTCGGTCATTTTGGGATGATTCCACTTAAAAAACAAGATGAAGCCCACGAACCCGAATGCTCACACGTATGTTAATGGTACAGATGTCAATACACATGGCTATGCAGTGACGCACAATACCTTTCTGCAATAGTTTATTTGAACAGTCTTGTACATGTTTCCCTTGTTAACAGTCTGCAGTGTGGAGTGGAAAGTGTAGAGTGTGGAGTGTGGAGTGTGAAGTAAGGAGTGTGGAGTGTAAAGTGTGGAGTGGAGTGTAAAGTGTAGAGTGTGGAGTGTAGAGTGTGGAGTGTGGAGTGTAGAGTGCAGAGTCTGGAGTGAGGAGTGTAAAGTGCAAAGTGTGGAGTGTGGAGTGTGGAGTGTAAAGTGACGAGTGTGAAGTGTAGAGTGTAAAGTGTAGAGTGTAAAGTGTAGAGTGTGGAGTGTAGAGTGTAGCGTGTGGAGTTTGGAGTGGAAAGTGTAGAGTGTGAAGTGTAGAGTGTGGTGTGTAGAGTGTTGAGTGTAAAGTGTAGAGTGTGGAGTGTAAAGTGTGGAGTGTAAAGTGTGGAGTGAGGAGTGTAAAGTGTGGAGTGTAAAGTGTGGAGTGTTGAGTGGAAAGTGTGGAGTGTGAAGTGTGGAGTGTAAAGTGTGGAGTGTAAAGTGAGGAGTGTGGAGTGTGGAGTGTAAAGTGTGGAGTGTAAAGTGTGGAGTGAGGAGTGTAAAGTGTGGAGTGTAAAGTGTAGAGTGTGGTGTGTAGAGTGTGGAGTGTGGAGTGTAAAATGTAAAGTGTGGAGTGTAGAGTGTAAAGTGTAGAGTGTGGAGTGTGGAGTGTAGAGTGTAAAGTGTAGAGTGTAAAGTGTAGAGTGTGGAGTGTAAAGTGTAAAGTGACGAGTGTAAAGTGTGGAGTGTAAAGTGTGGAGTGTAAAGTGTGGAGTGTGGAGTGGAAAGTGTGGAGTGTAAAGTGTGGAGTGTGGAGTGGAAAGTGTGGAGTGGAAAGTGTGGAGTGTGAAGTGTAGGTGTAAAGTAAGGAGTGTGTAGTGTAAAGTGTGGAGTGTGGAGTGTAAAGTGTAGAGTGTGGAGTGTGGAGTGTAAAGTGTGGAGTGAAGAGTGAGGAGTGGAAAGTGTAGATTGTAGTGTAAAGTGTGGAGTGTGGAGTGTAAAGTCTCAGGTGAGGAGTGAGGAGTGTAAAGTGCAAAGTGTAAAGTGTGGAGTGTAAATTGTAGAGTGTGGAGTCTAAAGTGTAAATTGTGGAGTGCGGAGTGTAAAGTGTAGAGTGTGGAGGGCGGAGCTTCCCCCATAGACTCGGCGACGCCACAGGAAAAACCAGAGACTCGAGACGAGACACGTGGATGCAAAAAAAACGAGCATTTCGTGCGAGACATCCTCCAATTTTGATATTTTCCACACGTTATCAAACAGGTTGGAATGTCACAAAGTGCCACGCCTGCCACGCAAAACGACATGACAACCTGCTTGGAAACATTCGAAAAGGACATGTTTTCCAGCTTCCCCCATAGACACGGCGACGCCACAGGAAAACCAGCGACTCGAGACAAGACACGTGAATGCAGAAAAACCAGCATTTCGTACGAGACTTCCGGCAATTTTCACAGTTGGCAACATGACAAAAGGACAAGTTTTGCAGCTTCCCCCATAGACACGGCGAGGCCACGGGAAAACCAGACACGCGAGACGAGACAGGTGGGAGCACCAAAACGAGCATTTCGTGCGAGACTTCCTCCAATTTTCACACTTTGTAGCTTCAAAATCGACGTTTTCCTACGAGTTTTCCTTAGAACCTGAAAATTTGCAACCTCAAAATCGATGTTTCGTGCGAGGCTTCCGTCAATTTTCAGCACATCGCACAAAATGCCACGACTGCCACGGAATTTGCACCTTGTCGCCACTTGACGCAGCCCTGCCAATGCGATTTGCAAAAAACACGCAACATGACACGTCTAAAGTGCTGCGCCTGCCACGAAAAATGACGATGGACACGTCCAAAGTGCTGCGCCTGCCACGAAAACTGCAACACATCTTCTGAAAACGTCACACAAGTATTGCGCCTGCCACGCAAAACGATTTTCAACACGTTGCAAAACACGTCTGAATGTCACGAAGTGCCACGCCTGCCACGCGAAACGAAGCAACGACACGTCTGAAACCTCCAAAAATGACCCCCTCTGCAAAACTTCCCATAGGCACGGCCATACGGACCTCGTACGAACGGTTGCGAACGGTTGCGGACGGTTGCGGACGGTTGCGGACGGTTGCGAACGGTTGCGAACGGTTGCGACCGTGAACGCAACGTCGAGCGAACACACCCTCAACCCCCAGACCCCCAGAGTGAAACGGGAACCCTTGCTACGCATTCGGGAAAAAAAAACATGATTCCAGTGCTGGGGAGAACAGGGTTCGGTCGTTGTTTTTCTTCGCCCAGATCACTGACCAATGATCCAAAGCGTGATGGCATGTAACTCACCATGAGATAGTTGGATCCAGGTCAATTTCGGCGCCAGATTTGGACCTTGACCCAAAAAATCCATGGCTCTGTCACATGGGGGAATCAACCACAGGATTTCCATGGATATTTCATGGCTTCTCGAAACTTTCAGTTCCAGATAGCCTCTGGTAAACTAACAGTTTGCTATGGAAAATCACCATTTTTCATGGGACGATCCACTATAAATGGTGATTTTCAATAGCTGTTTTGACATAACCAGAGGGTAGCCCCAAGCGGGTCCCGGATGCGGCGGATGCGGGGCCCGGCCCCAAGGCCCCAAGGCCCCAAGGCCCCAACACGCACTTGCGCTACGGCCACACCGTGACAAGCCAAACCTTCACCTCTCCTGGGATCAGCATGGCTATTTGGGGGCAACAAAAGCACAAAAAATGGGATCATGATACACTAACTGGTGGTTTCAACCCCCTTGAAAAATATGAAAGTCAGATTGGATCATCGTCCCAACTATTGGGGAAAATAAAAAATGTTCCAAACCACCAACCAGTACAGTATTGACAGTATTGAATATTGCTAGCAATGATCATCTGAGGCAACAGCAAGAATGATTTTTTGGCTATTTGGGAACATGTTTGGTGACTCTTCGTGGGTCACAATTTCTTAGTCAATGGGTTTTGGAAACAGTATCCATCCCAAGACTTGTCTATACATCTGGGTAAATTATAATATTTCACTAACCTGAATTAAGCCCACTTGGGGATGATTTCCCTTATTAACCATGATTTCCAGTGAGGTCGTAGTGAGGGTCGTTATAATTTACCCAGATTTATTATATTTATGTATCGGATACGAGATCTCGATTTCATTAAAATTTGATGCGCAAAACTCCTTTTATCCGTTTGGAAGTCAGGAAGTGTTTTGGAACATGCCAATGGCCATGTCACACCATGGTTATCAGATAAAAATTTCTCAGATAAAGCCTGGCACATGGCTAGTGCATTCACCCAAATATCTGGCTGCAGCATTGATGAAATCCCTAATAACAGTGTTGATGTTTAAATCCCAATTCCGGTTTTGGAAAAACATCACCTTTTTCATTGATCAAATCACTTTTTCATCTGTTGCTTAAATCACCAAATTTTTGTTGGCGTTAAACCGTCATGTTTGTTCCCAAATGTCCAGGGTCTACGAGTCTACCATGCACCCAGCCGTTGCAAAAGTCCCGTCCTATCACCAATGGCTTTGAAGATGCTGCGCGCCGCCAACGCGCAGTCCAGACCATCTTGGCAACCTGAGGGTCTCTGGAGACGGGGTGAAGATTAGTTTTGATTGGATTAGACTGGGTAAAAACATCACATGACAGATTAGATCACCATTACCATAGATAACATTAAATTATCATGAAAATTATTCAGATTACATTAGATCATATTAGCTTAGTTTACATTGCATTACATTAATTACATGACATATGAGTTTCGATATAGATACCAATATAAACACTAATCATATGAATGCCCAGACATGAACAAGGAAATCAAACATTGATGCCCATATGCGCACACAAACACGTGTCCTTCGTGACAAAATTTGAGCGACATCCATCCAGGAGAAGACCACCTTTCTGCCCGGAAGGATTGGTTTATATTTGAACATGATTAGGAACAAGCATGGGATGGCTAGTTCGATTCAAGCTTCCATTTGATTGTAAACCCACATTTCTAGTTCTTATATCAATATTGTCCAGTTTACTTGAATTAATTGAACTAGATTGCTTTAAATAAGACTAAATTTGATTAGGTTCCCATTGGATTAGAGTAGAGCAACTAAGACTGAATTAGACTAGATAAGATTTGGAGTAGGATCAGACATTGGATTGGATTGGAGTAGTTTAGACTGCATAAGACTAGATCAGACACGAATTAGATTCGGATCATGTGCCATTAGATAGGTTTGGATTGGATTCGATGAGAGTGGGTTAGACTTGATTGGATTAGCTTCGACGAGATTAACCTGTATGTGTATATATTATTTACATATATATATATATGTGCGCGTGTGTATCCATACACGACATTTCAGGTATCTAAATTGGAGGTGCCGACTTATGGGCCTTTGAATCAATATAATCAATGGGATGGGTAGATTGACCAAGAACAATGAATCATATAGGATCATATAGGATATAATATGATGATAAAGTGATATTTTGTTGATATAACATAATCATATGATATATTGACCAGGAATATGTTGGATTAAATAGAAAGTAAGAAAGGTCAACTAGCTCGTCTAACTTCCCTAATATGAGAACATATACTGCCAGCAACTGCTAGCCATTGCGATTTTGCATATCTCAGTGTACAACTAACAGTGATTAATGAAACGGGGATACAACAAAACATATCGTCTATGAACCCGCATGGATTTATGTATATATATAATATGGCTATGAATCAATACCTATTAATACCATTTTTAGAGGGATGAACATCCATTTACCAGCTATTTTTATGTGAACTACAGGGGTACTATAGGTTTTGACCCACTGCCATACACGAACATCAAGAAGTGAGGATCTGAACGAATCTGAGGCTGGACTCCCCCTGTGGGCCGTGTATTTCTTCCTCTCTTGCCATCTCCAGCCTTCAGAATTGCTTCATTGCTTCCTTTGGCTACAGAAGCACTGAACCCCTCCACAATCTGGCTACTCCTTGAGAACTTTCAATTGGCAATCATTTTTCACGGAGGAAAGGTATGTAAAAGTAATCAGGATTGCTAGGACTGATTCAGTGCGCAACCCACAGATCTGAGTTCTTCGAAGCAGTTCCATCCCTTGGGAGCTGTTCGATCCCACGTCATCTTCATATAGACCTGTTGAGCTTTAGGATCTCGGAGCTTCTCAACCAGAAGTGCCGGAGTTAGCGACCTCCCTGGCCTTCAGGATGTTGGCAGGGACCCTTTGAGTTGGAGACTGAGGGACTTCACGTCTGCCACTGAGATGTTGAAATCCCTCAGAAAGTGGACCATCAAGGGCCACAACCATATACCCATGGAGATATACCATAGATCTTGGGAGCCAATGGGGGGACCCTCAACTCCGATTCCTCTCTTCTTGGTGAAAATCCATGAAAATCCGACATTTTACGGGATCAATCGCTCAGTTTCCTGAGATCGTCTTGCGAAACCGCACTAATTTCCTGGCTTAAAATCATCGTTGATCGTTCCTTACTTCGTTAGACCATTGTCAAATCACCATTGTCAAATCACCATTGTCAAATCACCTACGCCTACGCCGTTGCCTTCCTGACCGTTGCCAAGGCACTGATCTTCTTATCTCCTCTCCACTTCCTCAGTGTGGCTTTTCGGCCAAACGACCTAGAATTCTTGACATGGGAATGAAACATCCTAAGTTGTGGTAAATTGGACATTTAAATGACCAAAGACCGTGAGCTTCTGCCCATATCGAAGAAAGGAAAGTACAACTGATGTGAGGGTCACATGCTGTTGACCCTGCACCCATCCCTTCAGTTCTGCAACACCCCAGGTATCTTTAAAAACTGCCAGTCTCATGTGGCTCATTATCCCTCAAGACATTGATAGTATTTAGTAAGTAGCACCATTGGCTGAGCGACCCTTCAGTTGGGGCAAGTCTGGAGTCATAGCTGTTCCCAAACAAATAGAACAGGGAACATGTTTCGAAATTGCAAATGAAACCACTTCCACCTATTCCAGGACCCTTGTGAGAGCAATTCAGACTCAACCCTCGATGTCCCACACTCTGCCTCACAGAAACAAAGGGCCCTTCATCCAGACCCTGGACTGTGACGTAGTTTGGCCTTGAAGTTGGGTTGCCTGTCATTTTGCCTATCATTTTGAGGTTGCCCCATCTGAGCACTCTGAGCACCCCAAAAAACCAGCCCAGCCGGCCAGGCGACATGTTGATGTTCAGCAAGCAGATCAACGTATAGGCCTCCATCCTCCAAATGATGCTGGCAGCAAGCAACATGATGGTGAAACAATATGGAACATACCTCCACTCCCGAAAAACATTGGATTCCAGGAATGATTGGAACAACCACAGAAACACCCATGAGAGTGTCGTGAAAAAAAAACCATTATGTTCGCATCTTACAGCAATTTCTTTGCAATCTCTGGGCACACCATGGGTCAAACCACCGTGGTTTGAGTCAAAGAATCTGTTGTGAATCGTGCCACCGAATTCTCGTGCCATGGTCGGTCACAAATTGACCGTCTCAGTGATTTTTGATATTCAAGCATTCAATTCTCTGGAAATAGCTGATCCTTCCTCATCTCAGTGGATTCCCCATTTGACTTTTTTCCTTTCGAACCCAGTCCGAAATCCTTTGTGAATCCTCGAAATGTTTCGTCGTCGCTGGGTCCCCCTTGGCGCTTGGCATCCGCACTTTTTGTCGCCGGCTTTGCGAAACATGCCTAGGGCCTGCCGGGATATCGGGGATATCTTGGGATCACTCCAAGTTGGGATCCCTTGCGGCCGGGGCCTCATTGGCCCAGAGCCGTGCTTCTTCGCGATTTTTGTAGCCGCGGCCTGGGAAGAAATCCATATTTTTGGATGAAACGAGCAATTCAGATTGATCCTGTGCCACGGTGAAAATGAAATCAGCATGGTTTTGGGAAAAATATGGGAAATACATGGTTTTACTATGGTGATTATGGGTTTTTGTTGAACATGTCGTTGTGTGCACTTCGGTCACTTGATATCCCGAAAAACGCCGCAAGTATCAGCGTTGGAATGAGACCCAGCTTAAAAATCAAGAGTTTCGAGATTGGTCATCTGGTTAGTGCTTAATAGTGGTTAATAATAATGGTTAATAATGGTGGTTAATAATGGTTAATAATGGTGGTTATGGTTAACCATTATGGGAATTTTAACCATCAACTGGTTGGTGGTTTCAACCAACCCCTCTGAAAAATGATGGACGAATCGTCAGTTGGGATGATTATTGCTTCCAGTCACCACTTAGGGCTTTGTCGAGGGCCAGATCTTTTGCTGGTCGCTTAAAAGGGGATGAAGAAAACCACCCAAAAAACATGGAAGAACAAGTTACCCTCTGGTTATGTCAAAATAGCTATTGAAAATGGCCATTGATTTCGTGAGTTTTCTCATTAAAAATGGAAAATCAAGTTATGTTAGTTTACCAGAGGGTATCACTTCTCACATCATTATGAATTACGAATACGGTGTCTGGAAAATGGAGAAAACCGTAACACCTCCAAGTCCATCCAAATCCATGAAGTTCTGGAACCTCGACACCCCCATTTTTTGAATTCATGTTCCAAACTTGAACATCCCGTATTTTTTTAGTGCGATGATAGTCCCAGCTATATAAACCTACATAAAGATATATAAACATGATCATTTTTTTGGGATTTTCCAGCCATGTTTACGCGTACCACATGGCCGCCATGGCCATCATGGCCCCTGCCCCCGAGTGTCCAGGCGTTCAGTGTTCACTTCCGCCAGAGACAACCTCTGGAGCAGGCCACTTTCGGGGCATTTGAATGGTGCCTGCTTTTGGACCCTGGTTGTGAGAGTTGAACTAGTTGAACCTTGATATTTATCTTCATTACCTTCGTGCTATTCGTGCTATCCCAAATTCGGACGAAATGCTGCAACATGCATTGGACATATCTGCAAGTTAGGAAAAAAAACGGCAATCTCAGCGATTTTTCGGATGATTCCCCCAATCCTTACCATATCTTACCATCATCATCCATCACCTAACTATGGTGATGTGGGCCAGGGTTACCACTCGCTGCCGCCTCCCGATCATCCTAATCTGATACACACTGGGGGATGAATCGGATGAATGGGCCAAGAACTTGATAACTTGCCAAGGTTTGAGTACTTAAATTATGAATCCATCAATAGTCCATCCATTTTTTTTTGGGGTAAGTTTGACTCACACTTACCAGACTTACCACGGTTCGGGGTTCCAACAGCAACTCGTCCACTGAGGTGCCAACAGCATCTTGGCCTCTGCTGTGCGATCCTGCATCAAAAATGATCACGTCGGCGAGTCGTCAAAAAAATGCCAGGTCCAAATCTTCCGAATCCACCACTTCCATATGTTTTTTTGTTTGTTCTTTTTCGATGGTTTTACCAATGCTTGTGACTTTTTGAACTTCAGGGCTCCACCAGTGGTCATGGGCAGAAGTTCTGTCAGCAGAGTAGTCCCGAAAAAGGAAACATCCCACTGAACCAGGAATCAATTTCGTGTCCGATTCTTTTTGGGGTAGAATGATGTAGAATGTGTTTTGAAAGCACGAGACTCGTGCTGTTTTAAGGCTACACAAACACCTGCAGTAACATTCGGAACATTCGGAACGAAGGGATGGTGAAGTGAAGAGAAGCTGCGCTGCGGCACCTTCTGGTTTCGGATGCGCGACAACTCCTCTTTGGCCATTTGGTTGGCCTCTTTTCTTCTGTCCTGGCTTCCCACCAGACGGAGGAGATTTACGAGCCATTGTTGCAATTTTTTTTCAGCGCATCAAAAGGCAGTACGAACAAAACATGAGCTGTACCCTCTGGTACACTAACATAACTATGGAAAGATCCACCATTTTCAATGGGAAAATCCACTATTTCGATGGGCATTTTCAATAGCTATTTTGACACAACCAGAGGGTATGTCAGAATCACCTAATAATCATCCCAAATCTACCCATCACGCGCTTGCGCGTGCCTTGAAGCAAAGGACGTGGATCTTGATGCGAATGGTATCCGCAATGCCCGTCTCATCGCCCAACCTGAGCGCCATGTGTTTCGCCAAAAATCACCACAGCCAATTTACACCATTGCTACATTTCGTGGAGGCTATGAAAAATGGTTATTTTACGCCACCTAAATCAGGTTTATAAAATCCATAAACATCCATTGGTTTTGCATGGTATAACCACCTTGCATCTCTGCTTCAGATCTGGGTATGGATCAATACCTATTAATACCATTTTTAGGAGGATGAACATCTATTTACCAGCTATTTTGATGTTCACCAGGGGTACAAGGTTTTGACACACTGCCATCTGGGTGCATAGTTGGCACCACATTTTCGATGACACTTTCTGTCTTGGGAGGGCGTTCCGGAAACCGTGCCACGTGAAGGCGGATCTTGACTGCTTGATTCAAATGCTGACACGATGGTGAACCTCAGGATCACGATGATTAAAAACAAGATGATTTTAATTTCAATGATTCAGCGTCATCCACTCTCTTATCTTTTCAATGCGAATCTCAAATAGCTCGCAGGCCGCTATTTGAAGGACTACTGTAGTAAAGTATGTTCGCCGGGATATCACAAACATAGTTAATTAGTTACTTTTTAGCATTATTGTATCGTGAAAAAATGGGGTAAAATCACAAAACTGATTGAAACAGTAGAACATATTATATAGATTTATATAGAATATATGACTCATTGAAACAGTAGAACATATTATATCATATTATATAGAATATATGTTCTTTTTTAGTCCACCATTACAGTATGTAAAATAACAGGACTAGCTAATTATATCGACGTATCGACTCATTTGACCATCGACCGACCTGACCACCAAGGTCCAGCACCAGTTTTTCACCGTAAAAAAAACGGCTCTAGGTTTCGGGCTGACGGAAACGCTCTAGCGCCTTGGGATTGGGTGGTACGAAGTGTACGAAGTCTACGAAGTCGACCATGAAAAATCAGTAAGTTGATCATCATTTTACCAACTACTCTTTTGGTAGTTGTAGATAACTATGGTACAGATGGCCCATCTAGTTCGATGATTTACCTACAATAACAATGTTCCAACCAAAAAACAGGGGTTTTTCGCATAAGTGCGTGCATTTTCTTTGGTTCAGAACAAAGTTAGTTTAGTTGCCAATTTACCCTCTGGTAATTTAACATAGCTATTGAAAATGGCAATTTATAGTGAGTTTTCCCATTAAAAATGGTGATTTTCCATAGCTATGTTAAATTACCAGAGGGTACTATAGCTGTGTGAAAGTACCAGAGGGCAGCCACAAAATGCGGCCAACTAGGCTCTCGTTAAGCATGGTCCAAGTAGAACATCGAAACTGCGGCTACTGGTGACATGGTTCATCCAGCCGTTCCATTCCGTGTATGGTTCTACCCTCTGGTAAACATACAAATAGCTATTGAAAATGGCCATAGAAATAGTGGATTTACCCATTAATAGCATGGTGATTTTCCATAGTTTTTTGTATGGTTACCAGAGGGTAACTTACCTGTTGCATCCTGTTGCTTCATTATCTTCATTCCTTCCAGTTTTTCTGGTCACATTCCCATGTCTTGCCATTCAAAAGCTGAAGGAACCCCCATTTTTTCTGGTTGATGGTACACCTACCCCTCTGAAAAATATGAGTTCGTCAGTTGGGATGATGACATTCCCAATACATGGAAAAATAAAACATGTTCCAAACCACCAACCAGCTTGTCTTGTATGACCCGCCGTTACTTCCAGTTTCGTTAGAAAAACATCCCGGAAGATTCCGAAGATCCACTGCGATGATTTTTCCCATGACTAGCTCAGTTTATAAACAGGAGATTTCCCTGAAAAAGGGTTATATTCCATCAATATCCCATGATAATTTCCCCACATATTTATATAATTATATATATATACACATACATGCACAGTAAATATAGTCATCCCCAAATAGATGGACAAATAAATCATCATCAAATTAGTAGTGATTTATTGTTCCATCTATTAAGGGATTCCCCGTATATATATATATATATACCACCATCAAATCTACCGTATCAATAGGTAAGTATACCCTTCCGCGCACCTCATCGCTATGTTTCAAGGCGTCTTCCGCCTCAAATCGTTTCTTGCCAGCTGGGATTTAATGGGGTGAACCCCATAAATCATTCAGGTTATTCAATCAGATTCGGTGGGGTAAGTCGGAGTAAACACAGGTATGTAAAAGCATGTTAGGTGGGGTTACTAACAACCTCAGCTCATATTCGATGAGGTAAACCATGGTAAACCTCACAACCCAGAAAAAGATAGACAAGGGCATTGCATGGCATTGTCACTATAAAATAAAAACAACTTCTCAGTAATTGTGCTTCTCATCCCACTCATGTCAATTTAACCAGCAATGTCAACCTGTCTATCTTTTTGGGGGTCGCTATACAAACTATTCCTAAGCCCAGAACTGGGTTACCCTTCACCCATCAGCACCTGTTCGTCCTGAACATGCTTTTCGGCCACCGTGAAGAATAGTGCGGCCTGGTCCACGAGCCCAAAAAAAGTATAACGGATGCGTCATTCCTATGTGGAGGGTTCCATAAAAATGTAGGACAAGGATCTTTTGAAGCCATGAAGTTGTGGGGGAAGTGATCTTCTAAACCTCCTGATGCTGAGAATCGATTTGAACAAAACATGATCATTGGAGACCCTGTGAGCGAAAAGGGGTAGCTTAATCAGTAGCCTTTGGTTATTTTACATAGCGGAAAATGGCCTATTGATAGGTGATTTATAGTGATGTACCTATTATTTTAATGGTGATTTGCCATAGCTACGTAACAAATTACCAGGAGTCATCTTGAGGCACACACATTTGCACATTCTGCATCATTTCAGAGTTCTGCAACCCCACCGTGGCAGCCAAAATCGTGTGAAAGAAATCTTGCACTAACCATTGCTACGTTCAAAACAGCTAAAACAGGGCATTGCCAAACTGGTTGGTGGTTTGAACCCCTCTGAAAAATATTAGTCAGTTGGGATTATTATTCCCAATATATGGAAAGTCATAAAAAATGTTCCAAACCACCAACCAGCAAATGGTGGTCTGTTGCCGCTCTAGAACAAGACTTGTTCGAATTGGATCTTATTGATCTCATCCGTAAACTAATCGGGTTGGTGGTTTCGAGATGTTTCGAGCCCTACCCCTCTGACAAATGGTGTGGCCTAGGGATATGCCAGAGGGAAAATGGACAAAATCCATCAAAGTGGCTGATGAATGGATGATAATTTATCTGGTTGGTGGTGAACCTACCCCTCTGAAAAATATGACTTCGTCAATTGGGATGATAATTCCCAATATGTGGAAAGTCATAAGGAATGTTCCGAACCACCAACCAGTAATATAGAAAATCCACCATTTCTTCATCATTGGGAAAGCCATCGATATTTCCATGGTGTGATCAAGCCATTCATACTCATGATGTCAACTCCAGGATCTACCAGATCCATGGCTTGGCCCCATAATTCTACGAAGACCTATTGATACTGTCGCCAATTTCTGGTGGTACCCAATTCTTGTTGCTTGCCATTCCCGATCGTCAAATCTCAAATCTGCCTCCCGTTCTTTGTCGGACAAACTCGGGTCTTTGGAGCGCTTTTCTGGCGGTTTTTCGAGTACCGGGAGCTTGGGGTGACCTGTGATACCTGTGATACCTGTGATACCTGTGGCGAAACGACATGGGTCAACATAGAAGAAACCGTCAAAGCCACGTATTGTGAGCATGGTCTGAAAAACCCTTTGCAATAGTTTCGTGACTCAAACATTTTGACACGCGTCTGGATGTTGTGACTATGGTGTCTTCCCCCAAATTCGGAGATAGGACAGCTTGAGGTCGAAAAGTCGGATCTCACTTCCGCGACCTCTTGTCACCACTTTCAAAGTTGCCCAAAGACTAGGAGTCACTTGGGGCTCCAATCATCCCAAGTGCGTCCAACTCTAACTGGTGGCAGTGACTGAACAACACTGTCTGAAACCTCCCATCCAGTGGTCTATCAGGCCATCCAGTCTTTCGTCACCTCATGGATGTGCCCTGAAAACTATTTCATTGGTGTAAATGAAACATATAGAGGAATCATAACTCATGGGGGTACCCCCCTATCATCCAAGTCATGACCATTTTAGTCTGGAAACCTGTAACTTGGGATACCCATATTTTAGGAAACCTCCATATCGATATATCCCTGCTGATATACCCTCTGGTAAACTTACAAAAAACTATGGAAAATCACATTTTTCAATGGGAAAACTCACTATTTCTACGGCCATTTTCAGTAGCTATTTTGACATAACCAGAGGGTAGTATCTGAGTATCTCATTGATGCGAAAAAAAAAAACTTCCCACGCAAACCACCGATGGAAACCACTTGGACTCAAGTCACCATAGCGCAAACCCAAGTTGTCGGAACGAACCGCCTCGTTGTTCGCACGTCCGGTGTGGGGGTTGGATGACTAAAGAGATGACCTCACCACAGTTTCCTCAAAAAACATGGGTTCAACAATGGAAAACAATGGTAAAATGCCAGAATTACCACCTGGTTATTTAACATAGCCATGGTATAGATGGCCCATAGAAATAGATGGTTTCTATATAATAAATGGTGATTTTCCATGGCTATGTTAAATAATCAGAGGGTATCTTCAAGAAATGTAGTTTTCAGCGAATTCTCAGGAAGAACACCATCCAAGTTTCATCAGAACCATCACCAAAAAAACATCCATCATGCTGGTGATTTTGTTAAGATCAGATGGTTTTGGAGTTTTGGAAAGATTGAAGATCTCTATCTGCCAAATTCTCATCAATGGACTAGCAAATTATCAATGGATTCCT